GGACTTTTTTCTTTCAGCTGTTCACCGTCAGATTCGAGATGTTTCTTTCTTACATCGCTTCCTTCTGGCGTGATAGTGGTGGGAAGCTGTCTTTTGCTTCGATCTTTCTCAGCCTCGCAATGTAATTTCTCAATGAAACTGTACAGTTCAGATGCGTTTCTGATTTTGCAGACCTGTTTTGACAAGTTTTCGTTTCTTGATCTGGTTTATAATGGCAACCCAACAGAGCCGCAACAATGAGCCAAAATCAGCCTCGCACTTTCAACTCTGCCCGACGGCGAAAAAATTTTCAAATGAGACTCGTCCTTCCACAGAAATGAAGTTAACTCCACAAAATCTAAAATTTCTGTTTTTTTTTAACGTTTGCATTGGGTTTCCGTCCCCCTTTACAAATTTTTGTTTAAGTCGCCGACATTCTGTTGCAAAGATTTTCTCATGCTTCAGGCGATACTCCCGCGTGAAGTCAGTCATGCGGAAAAGCGCGCTCCTAATTCTGATTGGTGAAGAATTGACAGCTGGGAAATTGAAATAAGAGGCGAAATGCAAAAGAAAAGCGGCTTTTGTAGCAGGCGTTTCCCTTCATCTCTTTCTTACCCTCCCGCCCCTCCCCCATCAACGTCTGTATATAAAAACACTTGGAGAGTTTGCCAGACACGAGTTCACAGATCTTTGATTGGAAAGACACTCTTTCTCTCTCTTTGACTGGAATACAACTCAGCCCCAAACAAGCAAGACGAGTGAATCAACGGCTAGCTTATCATTAGCAGAACGATGGACGATCACAGAAATTCGTCGACAATCAATTTCTGTGCTGACTTATTCCCTGCTCACAGATGTCCTCCACTATAACGTTTAAAATAAGACTAGAATGCGCGAGCTTGAAATTATCAAATTCCTTTTAATTTCTAAGGCTTACTTTCCGGCAAATAAAATGAACCGTCTGTAAAAAGTGAAAGAGAAATAGCGAAAAATTCAACTTCTAATTAAATCTGTTCTTATGGTTGGTTTAGAATAAACTATTCTTGAAAATGAAAATTGAGCAAAGCTGTGTAAATCGAACTGAAACTGTGCACGGAACCTTGCGTTTCCTGTTTTTATTTCACCTATTGTATGGAATATGTGTGAAAATCTTCATTATGACTCGGTATATTTCAAAGCGCTAGACGACCAAGAATGCTATTGACCGACAATGTACAGAGCGGGGGGCATGCAGCTGTATAGTGCCAACTTTTATACTAGTTAGTTTCTAGAATGTAGACTAATGACAAAATTACATTCATTTAAATGGAGTTAACACGCTTTTGTAGACAAGAGGGTGGGCCAAAGATGGAAAGCCTCCAAGTCGCTTTTGTGTTTGTTGTTTTGTTCTTAATGTTTAAAATTTTGTCTTGGATAAAACAGACACATAAAAAGCTGATCAGGTCTTCTTCAGATCCCATGTTCTGCGTCAAACTCGTTTGCGGTCCTTTGCAGTTAATGTGTATTTATTACTTTTTGATAAAACAGCAGGATTGGATGTCACCATTATATAAAAAGTAACAAGTCATAATAATAATAATAATAATAATAATTATTATTATTATTTAGTTTATTATGACAGTTGTTTACATTTGCTCTGTTGAAAACCACCAGACCATCAAGAAGGCTTTTTTAACTATAGTTATACTAAATTTGTTTTTAATTTTCAATTTGAGAAGAGTTTAATAAAGTATGTTTTTTGTTAAAAAAAACTTTTTATTTTAAAAACAAAATTATTATTATGATGATGATGTCCATTCCTTGAAGACTCAGGCAGAATGTTCGGCCTCACTTTCATTTTCTTTCATTTCCCTCTCCTTAAACTTGTCCAACTCTGGAATGCTCAGATACTTGTAACCTTTGTCATCAACTTCCTTTATGGTCTGTCGATTTATCAACTTAATACCCTCACTTCTCCACAACTTCCCCCGCTTCAGCACTACAACACCACATTTCTTTTATCCCAAATTCCATTCTCATATCTTGGCTAATCAACTGTACTGTCGATACTAGGCTTTCAATCTCTGCTTTACCCTTGCGATAGACCTCCAAGTCATCCATAAAGAACAAATGATTTATTTTGACGTCTCCTAAAGTATATCCAGCTTTGTATCTTGAAGGATCTTGGTCAAGGGTACCATGCAAACAGTGAAGATAAGGAGGGACAGGCTGTCTCCTTGAAAAATACCCCGTCTAATATCAGGGGCACCCCACGTGAATTTTCAGAAAATATTTATTCGGAAGACGATTTGAGATCTAGAATTTTCGGAACATTTTGTGTTATATTTCTTGCTTGCCTGCCTCTCCTAGGATTTCGAACACCTAAAAAATGGTATAATTGCCCATTTTTAACGGATTTTTAACCTAAAAGGTCTCCTAGAATTTTCGAGAGCCTTTTTTCTGGCTGAAATTTTCGAAAAGGTAAGGTTTGATCCCTATAATTTTCGGATGACTAGACTTTCAGCTAGGAAATCCGAACGGATGAACAATTTTTAGGGGGTAACAATATGCCCATATGTACTGTTTAAATGCTAAAATACGTTTAACAATGCTATATTCTCCTTGGGTGCCCCCGTAATATAAACTAAACCAAGTGTTTCTCCACAAGATGTCAGTTATGTCTTCCAGTTTACTACGGATTTCTGCAGGAAATTTATTATATTTTCCGCTACCTGTGCCATTTTTAGGCTTTCAGTAATCCAAGAGTGAGGCATCATATCGTATGCTTTCTTATAGTCCACCCACGCCATAGGCAAGTTCTTGTGTTTTTCAATCAGCAAAGACCATCTTATCAATAACAACTGATTTTTTGTGCCTCTACTTTTATGATGATGATGATGATGATGATCATGATTATTGACTTACTTTAAAAAACTGTATTGTTTTCAAGTCATATTGTGCCACAGGCATGATCGCTTCTCTAGTGAGCCGCAAGGAACGTTTTTAGGAAATCATTATTTATAGATCATTGCCAATTTTTCATGATATATGCTACAGTTGTTAGAGTTATCTATTGCTCAACTTTTATTTCAAATATTTCTGTAAATTTTATACATATTTTCAAAGATAAATAAATATCTTTTTATAACAAAACTTATTAATATTATTATTATTTTCATCATCATTAGATACCAATTAAAGGATATTTGCCAACGAATTGTCTATATTAATCTTTTCTGTTTAACTTGCTTGGCATTCAACCTACTTTTAATGAATATATAGTGTCCATGAAACTTTGTTGTTTGTAAGCCAGAATGAAGACGGGTTTTTATCTTCTACTAATAATGTCAACTTTGTGTCTCCTGATTTGCGAAGGTAAGTAAATAGGAAGTGCATGCTTACATGTGTCAGGGGATATGTATCATAATTGAATTCCAAAATCTAAATGACAAACATTCGTAGCCTGCGAAAACATCCGTTTCTCCTCGCTCTTCGCCGCTGGGGACGTTTCGCGAGGAGGAACTGTCTGCGACTCAGCGACAGAAATTCCATACTGATGACGCAAATCAATGTTTACATAATGAATCCGGTAGTCATGGGGTTCCAAATATAAATTCGTCCAATTTTGCGTGTCTTCTGGTCGATCTTGGGGAAGTGTTGTGTTCATCTGCCAACGAGCTCCAGCAAAACTCAAATTCTTCTTCTAGAGAAGACTATTTCCAGAAATATCCGAAAAATAGAAACATTAGTTTTTTACCCAAAATACCTAAAAAGATCTCTAGTGTTTTAAACCAGGCTAGCCATCCCAAAAAATGAAACGGCGGCCATGTTGGTGTCCCAAACCAGTCCTGTTGAGGTCTTTTCTTATGTAAAATTTTTTCCTACCGAAAACAAAAAATCCCAAAATCGAAAAAAAATCCCGAAATCGAAATTAATCATCCCTGTCACTTGATATTTGGAGTTCCCCCCAACCAAAACGGTGCACCAATATGGCGTCTCCATACAAAGCTCTTCAAAGGTGCGTGAAACGTTTCGGCAAATAACTCATCAGAAACTGTGGGCCACAAAGACCTGAGACTTGGATAAATTGTTTATAAATTAATCTTTTATAACTTGTCATTTTCTTGGCTTCTTCCACTGGACGGTTTCCAATTTAATTTTTGGTTGCGTGACAGTGAAAACGATCTATACTGTCGGTTGCATCTAAGTGTGTACACGTGAGGAAAAAACATGTTGTAACTGGAGACAAACATGACATGTTTTGCCGCCAAACAATCGAAGTTTGGAGTAGGTTAGAAATATGCGTGAAGGTTGGGAAAAATGAAATATGAGCGGAACGCGCTGACAGTTTGCTTTAACGGCTGTCAAACTTCAAACGTTTGGCGGCAAAACACGTCATGTCTGGCGCCCTATTAGATCATGTTTTTTTGTCTCGTGTCCACGCTTGGGCCTAGTTCAGACGTCGTGCTTCTGCCGTGCCGAACTTAATTGTAATTTGGTTCGACTGTAGCACGGCAGGAAAACAACTTTGATTCAGACGTCGTGCCAGAGTCGAACCAAATTCAGAATTTACTGATGCCTCGTAACAATTCTTCTCCCAACTCCAGGTGGGAACGCAATCTCGCCAAAATACATTAATATAATTTATGAATTTTGTTTAGCGCGGCAGAAGCACGACGTTTGAATCGCTGCCGTGCCAGAGCCGTGTAGCACCGCAGCGCTTGTCGAACTTAATTCAAAGGTTTGATTCAGACGCAGTGCTTCTGCCGTTCTTTTGTCGAACTTAATTCCTGAATTTAGTTCGGCACGGCAGAAGCACGACGTCTGAACTGGGCCTTAGATGCAACCGACGGTATTGCTTAATTTTTATTTCGAATATTTCTGTGAATTATATACATATTTTCAAAGTTAAATAGACATCATATTAATCAAAAAATTATTAATAGTATTATTATTTTCATCACTATTAGATGCCAAAGAAAGGATATTTGCCAACAAATTGTCTATATCAATCTTTCCTATCTAACTTGCTTGGCATTCGACCTACTTTTAATGAACATAGCGTGTCCTTATCTATGAAACTTTGTTGTTTGTACGCCAGAATGAAGACGGGTTTTTATCTTCTACTAATAACGTCAAATTTATTTCTCCTGATTTGTGAAGGTAAGTAAATAGGAAATGTATGTTTACATGTGTCAGGGGAGGTGTCCAATATCATTATTCAATTTAACCTGGATGACAAAAATTCGTTATTTTTTGTCATCTTCATGAATCTTTGTCCTATGAAAATATTCCCCGCTGTACACTTGAACTCTTAAAGCTCTTGCGCTTCTAGCTTTAAATATTGTGACTCAGCGCGATCATGTAGGAATACTATTTCGCTGGTTAATATAAAAACTGTGACACAATTTGTTGGATCTGCCTTTGAGCACTAACATTGGGAACTGACAACTAATATTGAGAGCATAAACCACAGTTAACTTTACCACCACGCAAAAAATTTCAATCATTATATATTTTGGAATTTATAACAAAAATTATTGCGAAAAACATTATTTGGAGGGAGCCTCTCTGTAAAATTTTCTTTTTTGTAATTTAACGTGCATTTATCTGTTCATTTCATTTATTTATCGATTTTTTGTAAAATGCTTTTTGGTAATTCTTTAAAAACTCGAACCTCCAAGGAGCGAACGAACAATTTTTGAAAAGTTTTGAGGACTTTTCTTCCAATATCTGGGACGTTTTAGTTGCGTTTCCCCACCATGCTGTAAACAACTTACAATAAACCCAATCATAATAGCGATCGAAAGCATGGGGATTGGTTGTTATGTGACTGCAAAGCTTATTTTAAGTTTTATCATCTCCTTTAGAATCAGGTGACCCATGCAGAAAGGTTCTTGTTAATGATCCTTGTATGAGAATACATTTATTTTCCGTTTTAGGGCATCTTCACATGAGCCCTGTTTCGGAAATCTCGCCTTACCTCTAAATCTTTTGTAAATTTTCCATGTGTTCAGAGGGCGGGCAAGCTCGGTTCCCGAGATCTCGGTTTTTCCTACCGGGATTTTGCCATATGAACACTTCAGCCCGGTTACCGGGAGGAAAGCGGGATTAATTTTTCGAATGAATTCTGCATCTTCTTGCTTTGCCTGTTGTATTTTCCACATCATAAGCATCCCATTTGACATCAGTGATACAGCTACAAGAGTTGGTAAACGGTTATAATTGCTGGTTTTCAGTGTCACGCCATTCAAACTAGAACAAAATAAAAATCAAAACCATTCGACAGATAAAGTCCAGAATCTGGGAAATGAAAGGAGGTAAATATAGAAAGACCCTCGCCAAGATTTGGGTCGAAGGAATAATTCTTATACGAGATATCCGAGGAAATGGTTTACCCAACTTTATAGAGCTTTGTATGGAGACGCCATGCTGGAACTCATCCGGATGAGCACCAACATGGCGGACGGAAACCAACTGAAACATCTGTTACCGAGTTTTGCTACAAAAGCGTGAATTTACTCCTAGAGGAACTCATAAACATTAAAGTAATACTTTTTCTAATACTTGAACTGTTTAGATAACAAAATTCCTCGAAAAAAGTCACTTTTTTAACCTAAATGACAGCTCTCTCGGCCGTCATGTAATTGATGCGTCCCGCAAAAGCTTAGAAATTCAAGCGTACTCTATTACAAAACCAAGAACCCTTTTGAGGCGAAAATTTGTTTGAAAATTAGTTTTGAGCTGCTCTAATATACCATGAAAGTAAAATCTCAGTAGGATCGAAAGTTTTGTAGTTTGAATTTTAGTAACGTCATGTGAAAGTCGAAACTTATAACTTTGTTTCGCCATGTAATATAACGTGTTTCGCCATGTTTGCTTTGTTTCTCGAATTTCGCGCCACAACTCGTCTTCGGCCTTTTCTCATCTCGGAGACCGGGCTGAAATTTCTCATATGAACCAAGGCGGCCAGCCCAGTCAACTGGACTCATGTGAAAAAAGAGGCCCTATCTGTTCCAAGGTAAAGATCGTAGGACAACGATCAATTTCAGTTCTTTAAAATACACCTGAAATAATGTCATGATGGATACCTCAACCTGTACTTAATCCTAAGTCGGTCATTCTAAGTTTTCCTCATAAATTGCATAGGCCTTCGGAGTAAGTAGGTGTGCTAAACGAAATTTTCCAAGTTTTGTCGCATGACGGCGCCTTTATTGCACAAATTATTGTTTTGAATAATGGGAAAATGAAACGAGTGTCTCATGCTGGTGCGATTTTTGTAGCCGTAGTTGAGCCTGGAATTTTTAATAAAACTTGCTACCGATTAGAAAAGAATTACCAAACATCATTTATTTGTTTATTATTTGTTTATGAACATGATAGTAATTACCAAGAATATACTTGCAGATTCTGCCTTGCGGTGTAACATGTGCCAGTCTGAGAAATCGTGGAATCAATGCCAGGAAAATGGAATTATTGTTGATTGTTCCAGTGAAGACCCAAGTCCCGACGTTTGCTTTAAAGTCCATATGGTTAAGAAGATGGCAGATGACTCTGTGAAGCACTCCTACAAAAGAGGATGTGGGCATCAAGAGTTATGCAGCGGCGAACAATGTAAACAGCAGGGAGACTGGTGCTTAGTGAACTGTTGCAATACCGACAACTGCAATGCTTCGTTGGCAGTAAAAGCTTCCATCTACTTGACGTATTCGTTAGTTGGAATATCCATCGCATTCCATTTATGTTAAAAGAGATCCAAAATTCTTTCATTTCCTTTAAGCGCAGGTTGATTTTAAGGGCAAAGCAACTTTTAATGGATTCATTATTATTTAACATTGTTGCATGTAAATATATAAAGTGAGGTGTGCTGGATAGTGTTGGACAGACGTTGAAACGAGCTCGTACATACTTTTTATGACAAAATGTTAGCCTGCGTGCAGACGATGGCGACAATCAACTTTTTTGTTCATATTTATGTTACTCAGCGCACTTTGCCTCGATTGCACCTTCCCCTTTGGTGCCTAGTCGGTGCCTAGCAAGTGCCTCGTCATTGCCTAATTCTGCATACTAATTAAGTGCCTAGACATTGCTTTCCTGCATATTAATTATGTGCGTAGTCAGTGTCTAGCTAGCTAGGTAGAAATTAATAACGTTTTTAAAACCGGGCGTCTCGTGTCTGATTTTATTGCTAGCGTTTATTAGTCGGGTGTTTTAATTGATCAGTTGTTTAGTTATTTTAAATTGCTTTGGCATACTAATATGTCAAGGTTCTCTCTCGATCTCTCTTGGGGTTTTCACCGTAGAACTAATTTGTATGCAACGGTGGGTTTGCGAACTCGCATAATTAACTGACTAACGGTGCGTGAAGCGCTGAGACTTTAATAGTTTTTCATTTCCTCGAGATAGATTGGAGAAAACGGTTCTGTAATAGAGAGTTTTCAGTTCTATACTACTTGTATGTTTTGTTGATATATGCGCGTTTTTAGCGCTAAATAAGATACAGTAAGCCGTTTCTCGCGTTACTAGGTGATCGCTCTCTTATCCCTATTTTGCTTTTAACAGACGTTCAAACCGGGCCTAAGTTACTTAACGGGCAAGTCTAGCTAGGCAAGCCTATTGTTTCTTTTGTGTTCTTCTTTGTGAAAAGAAACGACTATCCACTTAATTATATATGGACGAAGGCACTTAATAAGTATGGAGGAACGCATTTTTACCTAGCTAGCTGGACACTGACTAGGCAGGAAGACAGTGACTAGGCACTTAATTAGAATCCAGGATTAGGCAATGACTAGGCACTTGCTAGGCACTGACTAGGCACCAAAGGGGCCCAAATCATCCCTCTATGACTACTCACATTCAGAATTCAAAAGAAATTTTCCATGAAACGAGAAATTCAGGGCCAATTATTATAAAGGCAAGAGAGTAGCAAAATTTGCCGCCATTTAACATAACTAAAGTGTATACGCCACCTTACATATTAGGGAGTTTAAGATACGGAGACTACGAACTACGAACTACGGCTGGACGAGCGTTGTCGTTTGTTTGTAGCACTGGGTTGAGTCGTGCAAATATAGAACGTTAAGATTCCACTACAGACGGCAGACTACGAGAGAAGAGGCGGAGAGGGAAACAACACGCAAAAATTTTCTTGTTTTCACCACAGTTCACAAAAATGCAAGTCAGTTTTGCACGTGATCTTATCTTTAGAACAATGAACAAATTCTTCCATACTTGAAGGAAGCAATTACGTACAAGTCGCAGGGGCGGATCTAGGGGGAGGGTGCAGGGGGTGCGCACCCCCCCCCCCCTGAGATTACCTGCAGTTTTCTAATACAACTGGTATTCTGCAAAAAAAAAAATACTATGTGGTTTATTGGTGTTGAAGTAGAGCAAGAGACGAGTGCACCCCCTCCTAAAAAAATCCTGGATCCGCCCCTGAGTCGATTCGCGTACAAGTTGATTCGCCTACAACTTTACTCCTTGTTCCATCACCGTAGCTCGGGTGGAATTGGTAAACAAAGTTTTGGTTGCACAGGTTTTATTTTTTTCGCCCATGAATACTTATGTAAAATATTAAAGAAATAGACAGAAATAGTAATAACTCATTTATTAGATTTAGAAGATGGTCTTCTCCGACTACTGATCTGATGTAGTCTGAAGTTTTGAAATACCCAGTTTCGATTGTCTCGAAGATGTTTACATCATTTTCATTCAGCAAATGCGATACAAAAACTCGCATAAACAAAGGTCACACAAGTAGAAAGACACACTAATCAGTTCGAAAAAACATTGAAACTTTTCAAGTGTGAAGAGAAAGTAAATTACCTGCATGATTTCTCTTCTCCTCGGCCATCAATCGGAATTCTGCGTATAAACAGCTAAGCTTCTTTAAACATGAGCTTAGCTAGATAAAAATGTAGTCACAACGGTGGATTAAAAGCGTAAATCTGAGCAGAAATTAGACACAACTTACATATTTCGCTTCCCTCTCACTTAAAGCAGGCAAATTGAACCTTTTTTACAAAAAGACGAGATTCTTGAATTACCGAGACGGCAAAATACGAGCAAAATGTTCTCCGTAGTCCCGACTACGCGAAACAGCTCAACAACTCACCGTAGCCGCAGGACTACGCGGGAAAAGTAAACAGTCACGTGGTTTTGATCATGCGCAGTAGCATGTTTATCCGTAGCCGTAGTCCGTAGTCGGAGTATCTTAAACTCCCTATTGTATACAAAACTGGGCAAGAATAATTGCGCCTCAGTGCGTGCATTGGTCAAACAGTGTTACCAAAGTCGTTCAAGGTTGCCAACTTGTTTCGACATGGTTCACCCCTCTCGAAAAAAAAGAAAAGGTTGGATGAAAAACTGGACCTTATTCACATTGCTTTTCAACATCCAAAAATATCATGTGAACACTGTCCAACTGATCAGGTCACCGAACGAACTCGACATGCATGCATCTCCAACAATTTAATTTGCGATGAAAAAAGTCCGTATGCGTGAACTGATCCGTTTTTAAGAAGTTTCAAAGCTTACAGTTTCTAAAAAGATTTGATTCTAATCAAGTAATACATCATCAACTAAAAATAAACTTTATGCTCACGATCAGTACCGTCTGTCGTGAATAAACTCTCAGTATTAGCCTAGTAAAAAAAACATGTTTCTCGCCCACACTTCTATAAAAAAATGGACCAATCGGGTACATTTTTCTTTATTTCAGACTTATTTTTATTTATTTTTGCCAAATGAATGCTTTCTTTAGAATTATAACTCTCTCCATGCAGGGATAAGAACTAGTTGGAGTTTTTCGGTCAAACACAAATTTGTAATGCTATATAATGATACATATTTTAGGGTGAATTAAAAAAGTCATTATAGGACTCGGTATTGAGTACTAAGGGACCAGTCATAATTTAAGTTGGGGGGTGGAGGATAAATTGTTTTTTATCCCAAATTATTTCCAGACCCCTACTAATAGCACCCATGTTTCTTAGGCACCCCCCTTCAATCATGTTAAAAGATTTAAGGGCCCCCCTTTCTTACATAATACCCAAATGGTAATAACAAATAACATTTTCTTTACTTTACCGTTCTTATTCACTGTCACTTAACTTCCGAATATGCCAACTAACAACAGAGAGCGGAGCCTGGTCCGAGGCTGTGCGTGTTTGTGGAAACGAGCTAAACAAATAAATTAAATAAAACAAAAGCAAACCAACATGGAACCCAATCCACAGAACCATACCTTAAGTTTGATTCAAATCACATCTTGCGATCAAACATTCATTCTCCTCATTTCGTCTCGAGTTCCTTTTGAACCTGTATTCTCTGTACCCAGTTTCTCTCCTCTGTTGTTTGGTTGCTTGCCTTCAGTCTTCAAGTCAGTTCTCGGCACTACTGAAACACCAGAACCTCTTACATTGCGTGTTCTATGCATTTCTTTTCTGTGACTTTCAGTTGAAGTCCAGCCAAGCCAAAGAGAAAATGCAAATTTCCAGAAATCAGTACCACAAAGGCAAGGCATGGGAATGCCGGTTCCGCGATTTTTCACATATGCGGATCGGGAATGTATGTAGATTAATGTAAATTTCGAGAATCTAAACGACATAAATATATTTTTCTCTTTTGCAAAAGTCACCAGCGGGGCCTTCGCAGGGGGAGGGGCCGGGGGTCCAGGGGCCTCTACTTTTTGAAAAAAATAAAAATAAAAATTAAGAAATACACATTTTCAGGAATCTTTGATGAAATAAGAATATTAGACAGGCGGACCTCGCCGAAGCGCTAGCATCCAAATTTATGATTGGTCCGTTTCGATCCTATATCATATGGTAAGCCTCAAAACGACTATCTTTACAAAAACTGCTCTTAGTCGTAGACTTCTGCGTTTTCACCAGCCAGGTGATGCAGTATATATATATATGCAACAATGGTGTCTTTTTTTTATCAAGGTTCTTAAATCTCCACGGAACCACGATTTCTTAGAACAAATTGAACTCGATGACACTGTAGACAAGATAAAGAAGTTTCAGGCATTGGCTTAGCAGAGCATGATAAATGAAATTGTCGCAAGCTACAAGCTTCTCCTGGAAAATCCTGCAGCCATCGTAGAAGGATAAAGTCGTGTTCGGCAGCTCGAAGGTTAAAACATGGCTCCGTTCAACTACGACTTAAGAATGGTTCTGAACAGCTGCAGGGAGAAAACGGACAACCTTTTGAAGTAAATGAAACACGCGAAAATTATGATGCTGCTGTGCATGGTTACACTTGTTTTGTTACTAACTCCCCTCTCGTTTGTTAAACTATCAACTATCGACAAATTCTATTTGAAGAATTTCTACCAGAATGTCTCCCCTAGTGTCTCTGCAAAGTCGTTTCGTTGATTCGCTAACAAAGATATATTTGCAAGAATAAACACCCGAAAATGTCGAGGACCTGCAGAACAGTAGCCTGCAAACGCAGACCTTCTTTGGAGATGAAAATGTTTTGAATGGATATTAAAACATTAGGGTATGGATCGCACATTCCAGATCCTATTTTCACTAGATAACGCATCCCGCACTTGTTTCCATAGCTTACACGAATCCGTTTTTTGTTTCCACAAAAAGGATACGTTAAAAAAAACTGCTGCAAAAGCTTAAAAAGGCAAGATATAAATTGTCTCTTTCAACTGATATTTTGAAATAATATGAAATAAGCGTATTTTAACGCCATTGCAGGAAATAGCTTTTCGTACCTCAGTATGACTAAAGAAAACGATAACAGCGTGATAGGTCGTCCTGCACGTTACTTTTACCTTGGATCATTTCCCAAGATAAGTCACAGTGTTAAACTCCTCAGTTGCCACTTATCGTCGCGTCAGGGGGAAAGTCTGTACGCCACTACTACCTGCCTTTCGCACTCTAAGAATCGAGACATCTCGAGGTTTTCTTTTAGGCCTTAAGAGCGGCCGTCCGTAAATATCGCCTGGGGGTGTGCAAAATGAAAAAATCGAAAATCCCCAAACTTTGTCAGAATATAGGTCTAGGTAAACTATTTCTAGAAAAATAACTTTTAGTT